TCGTTTTGTGCAAGGGTGGCGCAAGATTATTGCAAAATTTCATGTTTTCCGTCCCGTTTTGCATGTTTCTCGGAAGCAAAATGAGCAAGAACGTTGGTTTTTCATCATTCCAGAGATAACTAAATGGCCTTTATTCGAAGTTTCTCAAGAACCATTCGAGCCATTGGCATAAATAAATCTTCTATACCTAAACAATTGGAACATCGCACCTCATCTTATTCAGTTGAAATACAGACCATTAAATATACCACCAAGTCGCTCATTTACTTTGAAATTTCAGGTCCAGTTACCAGAGCGACTAGTGATCTACGAGTTGTATTCCAAAGACAGTAACGACATGCATTACAGAGCCAAAGAGAAAATTGCCCAAAAACTAGACTGCAGCTTGCTGGTGATTTGCAGCAATCACCTCATAATATGCCAAGAAAAAACGTTGCAAAGCATGTACTTTTCTGGCGAACAGGAAAAGGAGTGGATTTTCAACAGCCCAATCAGGTATATCAAAAATGTGGGCGGCCCACCTGGAAAAGAGGGCCTGCTTCTCGGGCTGAAAAACGGACAAGTTTGGGAAGTGCATCTGGACAACATTCACCCACTACTCAAAGTGTCAGTTGCGGAGGGCGTGAGATGTTTGGACCTGAGCCAGAAAAAGGAGAAACTAGCTGTAGTCGATGAAAGCGGCTTGTTGCAAATCTTCAAGTATCGAAATGGCGAACTCTGCTACCAGGAGACCAACGCAAACAGTGTGGCTTTCAACACCTTCTACGAAGAAATGGTGGCGTTTAGTGGTTCCAATACTTTGGCAATAAAGGTGATGGATTTTCCAGCTCATGTGCAAAAACTGAGCGGGTTTGTTGTTGGAGTTTGCGGCTCCAAAGCTTTTTGCCTCAACGACTTCACCATGAACACTTTGGAGCTGCCTCTCAGTTCCCCCATGTATCAGTTCATAGAAAAGCACATGTACCATGATGCCTACAAAATTGCCTGTCTAGGAGTAACTGATGGGGACTGGGAAGAGCTGGCCCATTCAGCTCTAGAGCATCTGGAATTTAATGTTGCGCGACTATCCTTCGTAAAGCTGCAAGACTTCAACTATCTGGAATTGATCGAGGATGTTCAGGAGCAACAACAGAAAGGAGATTATAACCGAGACGTAATTATGGGGGATATTTTAGCAATGAAGGGCAAACTGAAGGAAGCGGCGCGACTCTATCAAAAATCTGGTAACGAGAGCAAAGCTCTTACCATGTACACGGACCTGCGAATGTTCGATGAAGCTCAAGAATTTCTTGGAGCTAAAGACAATAACGAGCTGATACGCCAAAAAGCTGACTGGGCACGGAACATTAACGAGCACAAGGCAGCTGCCGATATGTACATTTCAATTGGGGACATTAAAACCGCTGTGGAAATATATGCGGAACAAAGCTGGAGTGATCTTTTAGTCGACCTAAGTCGGCGTTTAGATAAATCGGACAAGTCCGCACTTAGTGTTATAGCTCAGCATTTAAAAACCTTGGGACAACCAGCTTCAGCTGCTGAAATCTACCGCCGCTTAGACGATTCAGCTGCTGTACTCCATCTACATGTTGAGGCAAATGAATGGGCGCAAGCCTTTGCAATAGTGGAGAATCAGCCGCAATTAAACGCAATTGTCTACGTGCCTTATGCTCAGTGGCTAGCTGAAAATGACCGTTTTGTCCAGGCTCAGAAAGCCTTTCACAAAGCGGGAAAATCTGACGAGGCTTTTAAAGTATTCCAACAGCTTACGGCCAATAGTGTATCAGAGAGTCGTTTTGATGATGCAGGATTCTATTACTGGATCATTTCCAGGCAGTATTTGGATTTGTCCAGGGAATTTGGAAATAAACAAGACTGGTATCTTGAAAAGTTTCGCGAAAACGAGAAACTAGCCCAGATATATTACGCCTATAATACCGTTCACAAGTACTTAGAAGAACCATTTACTTCATACATGCCGGAAGCCCTTTTCAATATAGCGAGGTTTTTATTGGCACAGACAAATCAAGAAAAAACACAAGGCATCTCCATGTTTGCTATTTACTTCACTTTAGCGAAGCAAGCTCGAAAACTCGGAGCAAACAAGCTGGCGAAACAAATGTTTGACAAGTTGATTAATCTACAGATACCAAAGAAATTTGAGGAGCAAGTGGAAATTGCCACCATTGCTTCTAGGGCAAGACCCTACAATGATCCAGAGGAGCTCCTGCCAATGTGTTACCGATGCTCTACATATAACCCACTGACATCTTGTGCAAATTCCTGTGTTAACTGCGGGCAACCATTTGTATATTCTTTCGTAAGTTTTGAAACTTTGCCTCTGATAGAGTTCAACATTGAGGAAGGTATTACGGATGAAGAAGCCTTGAGGTATATAGAAGCTCCCGTTCAAACAAACAACGAAGGCTTTAAGGAAAGTATTAATGACGATCAACAGACCTTAGAGTTAATGGATTCCGTGGAAGGTAACGAATCGGACCAATTCCTCTATAGAGGCAATGCTGATAACGAAGACAAAAAGTACCAGCCAATAGTATTAGGTAGAAAGCAGCTGCTGGCACTGGAAATGGACAGCGTTTTAGTCTGCAAATGGGACCCCCCATTAAAATACCAATTCTTCAGAAACATCCTACCAGAGCTGCATGTTACTTTGTGTAATTCGTGTTTTAAAGCTTTTCATGTAGATGATTTTGAACTGCAGTTACTCCAACAGGGGCACTGTCCGTTCTGTAGAGTATCTCCAAATAGTTCAGCGGTAGATAGCAGTTTTACAGACGACCTTTTAGCATAAATTACCAATTGTTGAATAATAAAAACGTTACTAAAACTTACCATCTTGCATGGAATAGTCGAGGATCTCTTTCAACTCTTTCCAATCCACCTCTTTATCTTCACCAGCCAATTTGAGGAATACTTCGTACACTTTGTCGGTTTCCTCCTGTTCTTCCGCACTGGGTTCTACTTCGACGACCTGTAAAGTGAGTCCCAAAAGTTTATTCAACTGAAAACTATTTAAATTGAGCAAGATCTAAGTTACCTCTGCCAAATTTCGAACTGATTTCTGAATGGGAGGCTCATTTACGGGATCAGGCATTGGGGCAAGTTCGGATACAATCGAGGATAAGTGGACAACCAAGGAACATTAAAACATTACGCAGTAAGTAGGACAAACACATTATTTTAGCTGAACAATGTTCAAACATATTCTAATAGCAACTTACTTTTTCATCCAATTCGCCGTATCCGATTTGTTGGTCGTTCTCCCTAAGTCAAAATAAAATTGCATTAATGGGTGTTAACAGATCTGAAACATATAAATCTAAAGGTTTGTTATATTGAAGAAAATCAGGCAGGTTAAAATAAAATTTCCCATATTCGACTGTATTAAATTTATTTTTACCTTGTAAGAAATTAGAATCTTAAATAATTATTATTGGAGTGATAGGAGATATACTGGAACTGCATTTATATTTAGTGATGGAAATGGATGCTTCAATTCTATCGCCTTTTCAGTTGCAAAATTTGTTAAATCGGCTAAAAACGTATCAATCAAATTTATAGGAAAATTTAAACAACATCCAAAAATTATTGTTTGCGGGTGGAGAATATGCAAGCAAGACCAGGCGAATGGAAGTAATACAATTGTACAATACATAAATATTCGAAGCAATTTAAATTATTTTTTACAATAACTTAATTACCAACATATTGCGCATTTGCAATAAGTAACTCAATAATCACATAACGGAAATTTTTTTTTTTACATTCTACTACCTTAGCTGTAAAAACTCATTAATAAGGAACTCTTTGTGTTCTTTAATTTATTTACTTCGGCGTATTTCTTGCCATTTAAATTCCGAAATTAACGTCTCTGGTTTGTCACACTTGCATATTTTCTGGCCGAAAATTTTATATGTTTAATCTGCTGATTCTATATGATGCTGAGAGAATTTGAAGCATAAATCTTAAAAAAATGGGGAGTGATTGAAGAAATTAACTAGCCAATAAACAAAACAGGCAAAAAATGCTACAGAAAAATGTGCTTTGGGTGGTAACAATAATAGCTACATATTTACTACAGTATGTTAAAGTCAATAGCAAAAACAACAAACAAAAATGCAATAAACTGCTTATAAACCTAAAGAGTCTTCGACAAACATAAAATCAAATATTCTATACAGATCTATCAGATGAAATTCGACGCGCCACACATTAGACATGAAACAAATAAGTACATCAGTTAATTGTAACCACCACCAACACGTTTTAGATTTATCCTAACAGACATTGTCCATCATCGACGAAAACATCGCAGTGAAAACTAATAAGTAGATGATGATAATGAACTGTTAGTATGCGTTAGTGACAAAATGCAAAACACAAAAAGTAAGCTGAAGCTAAACCAAGTGGAATAACTTGCTTTGTAATCATAATCGTTTGTACATATTTCTTAAAATGTCATGCTTCGAAATAGGAATCGGGTTTAGGCCGCAACACAACATAAACCAAATAGAGATGCGGATAAGTTTGAAAGTGAAACAAAGCGCAGAAAAAAACTTGAGTAAAGTAAACATTTGACGCAAAGTTCCCATTTTAACAGTTAGTTGGCTAGGCGAGCAAGATGTGTTCTGTTTGTTTAATGGAAAACGACGAAGGGGGAACTTATGTGATAAAGCGTGACGCATTTCCATTAAATTAGCACAGTTTTCTGATACTATATCATAAATGTGTTTTTTGTCGAAAACTCCTGTTAACCGCGCTTTGTTTCGGATCAAGATAATTGGCTTTCAAACCGCAATACTTTTTGCAACATGCCAAAACCCTGAACAAATAATTGATCAGAAAATTCGAGAAATACTTATTGCAACTTTGTCTAGGAACAAAAGCACTTTTTTTCGTTGATTAATAGTAGTAAACGCTTGTTTTCCAGAATAACTTTTTATCAGACCTACATCGGTTGACGCGGCTTTTAAGCTGAAGAATAAAATTGTTGAGACCCTTAAAACAGCTTCTTAAAGAAATTCAATATAGGATCTCCTTTATCTCGATTTCGCGGCTGCTGTTGTGGTTGTGGCGGATATCCTGGATATCCCGGGTATTGAGGATTCGAATATCCCGGCTGAGAATAACCCGGTTGTGCATAACCACTTGGTGCGGGATAACCACCAGGTGGCGGATATCCACCTGGTGGCGGATATCCACCTGGTTGTGGATAACCGGCCGGTGGTGGATAGCCCCCAGGTTGTGGGTATCCTCCCGGTTGAGAATACGGGTATCCACCAGGCTGTGGATATCCAGGATAACTCGGCTGAGGATAGGGATTCGAGGCACCAGGACTTGAAGGATAGCCCGAAAAGGGAGCAGAAGGATTAGCATCGGAATCAGGCGGGGGAGGTGGATGATACTCAGGGGCTTCGCTTTCCTCTTCCGCATCATCGACCTCCCGAGTATAACGCGAGCTACTAGCGTCAGAAGCGTACTCCATATTATTCTGATTCTCGGAGAATACTCTGAGTAGGAATTCTCCTTCTTCATTCGGGTCGAACGTGGAAGGCACGATACAGTAAGTTCCAGGAGGCAGTTTAAATCGGCACGAGACTTCGCGCAAATTGATAAAGGACGGAGATCGTGCCACGGATGCGTTGTACTTGAAAAATTGCAGGTCTAATGGTTTTGGAACGCGGTCTGGGTATGGAAGCTGCAATATTAAGAAATTCCCAATTACATCAGTATTCGTTAATGTATTTCAACCACTGAACTTACGTGATAGATTGCGAAACCTATTGTCAACAGGTCGCCGCCAGTGCTTCGAATTTGTCGTCGGTTTTTCTGCATTAATGCAACAATCAGCGTACAATTTCCTTCGTCGTCATCCTCATCAACTTCCGTTAGAGTTATCCGGTATTGAGGATTATTCCAAAACGTGTCTGTAGAATTTCAAAAAAATTTATTACTTCTTGGGCGAGATTCTTGGGTAATTAACTGCTGACCTATGAAGTTTCTGCAGCCTCCGGCAGTCACCCCTCTCACCCATTCACCCTCATAAACCGACATCTCCCATTTCTTTTTGTTTCCCTCTCTCAATTCCTCTTCCGACAGTGAATCGGGATTCAAATTACAAATTTCCACACGGCTAAAATGCTGCTGAAAATCTTTAAAAGCCATCCAAAACTCGCCGTCGTTGTCGAACGTAAGGCCCAGTTCCTCTTTCTCTGATTCTGAGATAAATCGCCACTCTGGGGATCTAAAAAAAGGGCAGCAAAACTTAAAACAACACGGACAACACTCGCTTTTGCATATTGAACGATTAGAATTTGTTTTTTAAACAGTTATATAAGTCTCAATTTGTAAAAGTGCTTACCCATCACCCCACGCTCCATTCCATTCCGATTCATTACCCCATGGATTTCTCAACCTCAACAGGGGAATTTTCCCTGTCACATTGGGTGTTTGAATATCAACATATTGAACTCTAGTTATGCTGTATGCGTGTCCTCTAACGAGTCCTTCGGGAGTTTGTGCCTCCAGGATATTGGGGTCAGGCTATGAACAAGTAAATTAAGGAAGAATTAATTTCAAATTGCTTTATGCGCGAAATTGAATATAGTGGACAGTTTAATAGAGTGCAAAACAGTTTAAAAAACCGATTTTTTTTGACTCTACTCACCTCTATGGAGCAGCCCATCAGAGAAGCTCTCTCGTAAGCTTTAATCATAATTTGGAACAAGTTTGGAGGGCTGGATTCCAACTCGTACATTTCAGTAACACCTCCCGTAAAATCCTCCATAGCTTCACAGGTGGATCCTCCTTTCAGGGCTTCATATGAGCCGTGCATTCTAAAAAAATTATATTTTTCTTTATTGCCATTGTGTTTAGCTTTTCTCGGTTAGTTGATTTAAAATGGTTGCTAAATCCACACATGTCAACAGAGATTGTAATTTGTGGCGAGTAAGAAAATTACTTACTTAGCATAAGCTTTTTCGATTAAGGCACTCCAAAACTCGTTTTCTTCGGTAGAATGTAAAAACACAAGTTGCCCTCGATACGTAGGGAGTCTATCGTCTATCACAACATCTATCCAGCGTCCATACTGCCAGAACCTGTAAGTTAAGAAAATTTTCTTTAAATAGTTATTAAGGAATTATACCGGGGGTTTTGAAAAAAATGGCCATCGCGTATAATGCCTCGCAACTTACTGCGTATAGAGAAAAAAAATCATTACCCGAATCAACAACCAATGAGAAAAAGTCGGTAATTGCTTTACGTTTGATATTTTTTCATAAAAAGGCTCTATAGAAAAATAATCATTTTTTCGAATGAAAGCACATGCAAGAGAAATCTAAGTCTGTTGACTGATCATGTCCAGTCAGGGTCGGCAGTTCTTCATAAATTTCATAAAAATTGACGAGTTGTTCAAATTACAGCGGCATTGAGTATTATAATAAATAAGAATAAATAAGAATGATTACAAAAATATAATTATTTTCATATAACACACAATTTATTCCTATGCGATTAACTAGTAACTTACCGAAAGTGAAAAATACCGGCGTATTTATCGTCAAAATCTTGGTCATCCGGAACAATTTGCAAAAAGAGCCGATGATACAACGTTAAATTAGCAGCAGCAGCTAGAAGCCAACAATCTCCCAATTCGCCTTGTTGGACATCGAACCGCGAATATCCCTCCACAAAAAATTGCGGATTGTCACATATTTCCTAAAAAATTAACACAATTTGTTCAAAGGCTGGATATTAAAGATTTTCAACGAGCTCTTTTAACTCACATGGGGTCTTTTCCATTCATAATATCTATCCGGCCTTTGGCTGAAGAATAATGATGAATCTGTGGCGGGAAATTCAGGATCCTCAAAAAGGGTTCCTCTTTCGAGATTTTCATCTCGAAGCTGGTAGAAGTCTTGTGGTCCTGCTCTTGCTTTAAAACCTGAGCCTTTTTCACCAAACTGTAAAAAGAAACATTCAATTAACACCATTTTCTTTAACCAGCTATAGCGTGTCGCAGTTCTCAACAGTAGAGAAAATTGCAAAAAGAAACACAGAAAAAAAAAATATAAGAAAATCATTAATGATGAGCATCTGATGCAAAAGTGAGGCAATTTCCTATTTGAACAATGCAAAAGGAACAGAAATTAACACAATAAATGGGAGTTATTTAGTGTTTAGTGGACCATCCATAAGCAGCATGCTAAATGAGGCGAATAGTATAATGTTTTCTAAAAAGCGATCTTAAATACTTAATAAGTGGGTATGTGAACTAGAAAATTCTAAAGCTTCCAATACGAAAACCTCGATATAGTTTCAACTGGAGTCGAAATGATAAATCTGGCATTGTCTACGCCAAAGTTACAAACGAGATGAAAAAGAGTTTTAATTTTTACGATTTAAGCCGCATAGATCTTTAGTCACATTCACATAAAAAAATGATTGTTTTTTAGATGAAGATTAAGCTATTAAGTCCGATAACAGTATATTTATTGAGCCATAAACGTTCCTCCTAAATGTTTACAATAAGATACATAGTCTATAGTGAAACCATATACCTTGAAAACTTTCTTGGCGATACTATTATTTAAAGTAGCACCCCTGTAAATACCATAAACCTTCGCTTCCTTAGCTAGCGTATTCTGGGATACAGTTTGAGTAATCAGTTGCTCCTTGATAAGGTGAGGAGTTTCCTCACTTGCGTCAATAAATTCAAGTTTTTCGTCAAGCTTGCACCTAAACGCGTTTTTCAGTTGGGAAATCGCGTTCCGTTCCTCAACCACCGACGGTTCCTCAAATTTGAATGAAATTCGCTTTGGAGGAAAAGAGTACGTTCTATCAACCGGCGCGACTGAACCTTTGGAAACTTTGGGAAAACGATAAGTAGCCCTAGAAGAATTTTCCACGAATATTTTGGACAACAGCGGTTCTTTGATAAAGCCCGGACTTGATACGCTCGTCATTTTCGAACACACTTGTTCAGAATTATTACACAGACTATCAAAGAGCAACTCGTCAAATATTTTATCAAAAATCGTTTAAAACCGCAAACTCGCAATGTCGTAGGATGCTAAACACTGGCCATTATCAACAGCTCATTTACCATTTGAGTTCTCTATTCGTTTTATCTATTACTATCTATGCGATAGGAGGGTGCGTAAATGAAATGAGTTTGCTAATTTAATTTTTTAGGCGTAGCATCGGATCCTTGGGGGGTGAAAGTGGATCGTTTTCCGACTTCCAGCAATATCCAGGCGCTCAGACCTTTTCAAATGTCGTATCCAGTTCGAAAATTAGGCCGATGTGGATTTGAACAACAGGTCAAGGAATTATCTAATTGGTGTTTCATGTTTGCCTATTTTTGGACTAATGCATGATGTCAGAAAGGATTGAGAGTGAAATGATAATTACATTTTTATATTGTCTACTTCAAAAAGGTAACAACATAAAAATGTTTTTAAAAACCGGCACCTTGAGGAGCGTTTTTTGATCTGTTTCCCTGTTTCTGGCGGTTTATCGGCAATTTAATTAAGGCGGCAAGAGAAAGTCCCAAAAATAATTTTGTGTTGAATACAAATATTCGTTGATTCATACCAGTTAATTACTTTATTCTCCCATAAGAGTGGCTACGGTGGTCTTGACCTTCAACTTTCCATAGGCCAAACACATTAGAATAATTTCTTACCCACGACAATTATTTCAGCATTAGCCCACTCGCCTACTTTTTCAACATTTAAAGAAACCAATATTTGAAATCCGAATGGAAAATGAACAGATTTCTTACCATATAAAGCTTCTCCTTTCCAAGTTGCATTTGCTTATTTACATCTAGGACACTCGGTCCATCTGGCATAAGAGCCGGAATACTGCCATCTTTTCTTTTAACGTATTTTTTCCTTAAAATTAATATCGGATGCCTAACTGCAATTTTCTCTTGCGGATTGACTTCGGCCTCTCTAGTTTTGAGAGAATCAGGCGATTTTTTCCTATTTTCTGAACCACCACGCTTCCGTTTTTCCAAGTCGCAGTATCCAACAGGACACTTTACTCCCGAGTTCTCAAATACGATTAAGGATCGCTCCGGTTTGTCTTTCTCATTGCCTTTGGTTATTCGACTTACTTTTCTATTCACTTTCGAACAACCGCATTCCTCTTTTTTCGCATTTATTCGAACGCATCGTTCCTGAGGCTTATTTGCTGGATATTTCTCACCCTCCTCTCGAGCGCGGTCCACTCTCAAATATACAGGCTTATATTTCAAATCTGCCTTCTTGGTTTTGTCAATTTTACCATCAATTGCTGTCCTATTTGCGTAACCGGCATATTTACTGCTGGAGATTGACCATCTCTTTTCCTTGGACATTCTAGACGGTTTAGGATATTTATCCAAAAATCCTAGAACATCTCGCCGGATGTAGCTCTGATATTCTATGGAATTGATGTCTAATTTGCGCTTAGCAAATGATGTTTTAGGCGTTCCAAATCCTTCACACGATTGGCATGAACGGTTTAATAATGCATCCCACATCTCATATTTTTTTAGTGTTTTTCATCGGCAATTTTCTAGCACAGCTTATGGGCAAATTTCGAAAACATAAATAAATACCACTGACAAATAATACTAATCAGATAGTGTCAAGATTAATTACGTTCGATGTAGGTTAAAAAAATAGATAATCCTAAAACAAACCAGGTGAAAATTGAGCGACTTAATTCGCCGCAAAAACATGACATATAAATTATTGATCAGTTCATTACCCAAGTTCGCAGAAAAAAAATAGTGTTTGAGACCCAGAATTTTTCCTACGATATCTTCCTTATGGACCCACAACCTTCATATTCGTTATTGGGCAGCTTCTTAGGTCGGCAATAATAGAATAAGGGGAAAATGTTGAGTTTTGATCGAAAAGTTCATAAGGGGGGATCATGAGATCGATTTTTGGAAAACAAATCAAGTTTCTTAAAATACCTCGAATTCTACACCATTTTCATCGGACAGAGCCAAGGAATGCAACGATCTAATAAAAAGACACCGGGGACTTTCCAGTTCCCAAATAATCAATATTTTCTGTCTGTTTTGAACGGTTTTTGAGCGATCGCAATATTCAACGGACGATATCTTCCTTACTATGAACCCACAACCTTCATATTCGTTATTGGGCAGCTTCTTAAGTCGGCAACAATCCAATGAGGGGAAAAATACGGTTGTAAAATTTTGATTTTTAATTGAAAATTTTGTAAGGGGGGAGGGTTGATTTTTTCGAAAAATATAAAATATCACGAATTTTTCATCATTTTTACCGAAAAGAGGCCAGGAGTTCAAAGAGATCCTCAAAAACACACTGAACTCTTCAGATCCGAAATAATCAACATCGTCTGTGCACTTTGAGTCGTTTTTGAGCGGTTCCGATTTTTAACCGACGATTTCTTCTCCATTATGGACTCAAAAACTCTACATTTGCATATCAAAGGGACCAAAGGATCGATTTTTGAAAAAAATTCAAGTTTCTCAAAATATCTCTAATTCTACATAATTTTCATCGGAAAGAGGCAAGGAATGTAACGATCTAATTAAAATACACTGGGGTCTTTCCATTTCCCAAATAATCAACATTTCTGTCTATTTTGAACGATTTTTGAGCGGTCGTAATCTTCAACGGACGATATCTTCCTTATTATAGACCCACAAACTTCATATTTGTTATTGGGCAGCTTCTTCGGAATTTGTATTTTGAATTTAAGCAAGTCGTTTATTACCTACTCTTCTTCGTCGAAAAAAGTCGTTTTAACAACGACGTTTCAATTTCAAAACTGTTATAAGTTTTCAGTCATCCCTAATTTTATCGTTTTATGAGGATATTGATATGAATGATCAAAAAATACAGACGTACAGAATATACTATACAAACAAAAATGTGGAATTCAAAAAATGTTTAATGATTTTTATGGGACACGGAAGCATTTCTCAGAACATTACTCGTATCCACAATATTTAAAATACAACTTTTAATGAATCTTCTATTTCTTCAGGTGACTAGTATACACATCCGGATCTTACTAATGTTGATGAAGAATAATCAACAGAAGTATTTTCAGATGGTTGTTGATCCCAATTGCTCATTAAAAACCTTTCGGAGAGCTGGCTAAGGCCGCTAACCGAACTTTTGATGAGAGTTTCAACTTCAGGCCCATTTGCGCACCAAAAATCAATAAATCAACCAGCTTCTCCTCTGAAATCCTTTGGAAAAATACAAAAAAATAGACAGGGGCTGATGCGAAGCAATCATTTAATGTTCAAGTTTCCCGCTTGTTCGCAGCTTCTGAATCCTCAACTTGAGAAATAAATCCGTTTCTCAGTGGAAATGTATTGACGAGCTTCGACAGTTGAAAGCATAGATAGTTTCCTTCCTGTTCTTTTATAGTGCATAGTTGTATAAAGTCAAATTCCTTCGTTTATCTCAGTTTTCTCAACCCGCTCCTTGAAAAATTAGTTTCTGACCATTGAGTTGACGATGCCTCAATATGGAACTGATAAACGGACGTGAGGAGAATTTTCCAATTTCCATTAATTGCTTTTTCAATCCCCGTCTCGAGCAAAAATCGATCTCATTTGACTAGACAAAAGGGCAATTGACTCCCTTAAAATAGTAAAATATTGCGCAAATATTACCAATTTTACCCCCATCCTTCGTTGAGACATTTGATAATTCCTCAGCTAAAAACCGGCCGGAAAGTGTTTTATTTGTACTTTAAACATTGTTTACTAGTCATCAAGCGAAATGTATCAATTTTTCGAACCTTTCACGGGTTTTCGCAATACTAAACGCAACAAACTCGCGACTTTGGTTAATAGACCAAAATAACAAGTTTCGAATAAGACGCCGACCTGTACAATATAATTTTTGTGGTTACACAAACTCAAAAAGTGTCGGATCAATATTCAAAACGTGTGCAATTTGACCATTAGAAAGACAACTATCTAGTTGAATGAGAATGTTTTATATTTGATTATTTTGGATCATAACAGCGAGCATTTGGCTACAAGTAAGTTTGTTTTGATCGCCTAAAGCATCAGATGCGTCACTTTGTGGAAGCACTGGTGGTTGACTAGCATTCTTTATATCAGCAAGTTCCTTAGGTGCATTACCGCATCCTCTAACCCCCTTTTGCATTTTCCTCTTTTTCTTTTTGCCACATTTGGGACATATTCCAAATTCTTTTGCTTCCAGTTCCGATTTCATACAGCACTGACAAGGAGTCGTTTTAGCTCCATTGCAAAAGCATACTAGTTTATTTTGATGCGGCGTGGATTGGTAATTGTTGACTGAAAAACTGCGTCTTTTACGGATGTTAGAAGGGCAGTTTGGGTTGGGGCATGGACAAGGTGGCATTCTGGGTGTGCATACACCCATGTCTATGCCATTATGTGATCCTGTTGCCTCAGCAGGTCCGCCTTCCTTGCCAGTTTTCGGATGAGACTCTCCATCTGCAGATGGAATGTCTCCTTTATCTTTTCCACTTGGTTTATCAGCGTTGGGTTCCTTGCCTCCTGCCTTTCCTCGCTTGGCTGTTCCTCCAGCCTTATTTCCTTCATGCGCTTTACCGCCTTTGCCGGATTTCGGCTGTTTTCCACCTGTTCCCTTTTTGCCCCCTTTGCCACCTTTGCCCCCTTTGCCTCCTTTGCCTTCTTTGCCTCCTTTGCCTCCTTTGCCTTTTTGCCTTTTGCCACCATTATCTTCTTTACCCCCTTTTCCATGTTTTCCTTTTCCGTTTTTTCCTTTTCCGTTTCCATTTTCATCTGGAGCGCTTCCAGCCCCAACTCCAAGAAAATCGGATATTTTCTCTTTGCGTTTTGTTGGGCTACATGGCTGAGCAGGGGCGCACCAGTTTGGTGGACATGCATACGAGCAGCAACAGCATGAAAAAGGCCTGCAGCCGCTTGAGGGGCTGCTGCAGGGACTGGAGGGCCTGCTAGTAGGACTGGATGGCCTGCTGCATGGTCTGGAGCAGACGCTCTGAGATCTACTGCGAATACTGGCACAATTGGAGAGGATGTAGCAACAAGGCGCGCAACTCATCTGTGCTCATTTTAGTTCATTTTAAACGAAGAATTTCGAATGGGTGGTAGTGAAAGACGTGAATGATGAATAATAGGTTAGGGTTTTACCAAATATTTTCAGTGTCTAATTTTGAGTGATGAGCAAAGGTAATAAGGTAGTTAGGGAGCCTTATCTGGAGACTATTTGCGCACACTAAATGTGAGCAGTTTGTTTTATGAACAGCTCTTAAAACTCGCTTGAATAAAAGTGTGCTTGTTGCTTCACAGATCACGCAGATCGTATTGAATAAATGTCTCAGTAGAGGCGATTTTAAAAGGCATAAAGTTAAAAAATAATTCCAGTAAAAGGAAAAACTTTGAAAAAGTGCCGTTGAGGAGTTGCAAACGGTACTGAAACGTTCCTTGGCTCAAAAGAAGTTTTATTTAAAAAAAAATGTCTGGCTCAAAAGTTCAAAAAAAGTTCTTCAAAAATAAATGACCTAAACTCGAAATTATATTGAAACTCGTGGACTATTTGCTCCTAAGTCAGGCTCATATTTTGGTGAAGCTTCTGGATGGATAGAGGCCATTCGCTTTGGGCAACAGGTAAATTGTTGAGTGTCTTGGTCCATTGAAGAATTACCAGTACGTTTTACTCAGTAGTTGACATTTTTTTTTAGTTGATACAATAATACTTTTTCTTCGATAATTGAATTTATAAAGAAGGTGAATTTTTGAAATAAACCAGAAATTGCAGTCCAAATTATGTAGATTAAAATAGAAAAAGAGTAGAAAAGTCCTTGAAAAAAGTTGGATTTTGCTCCTACTGAGAGCCCCTGCATGACTCAAAATACATTTTCAATGCGATTTTCTTAAAAGTCTGTTAAATGTGGCATAAAAGTAAAAAGGCCGAAGGCCGTTTAGGGAAAAAGGAGTGCCATGCGAGATCCCCGCAAATACTGACGAAGTGGAGCTGCCATTTAACCAGCATATCAAGGTATACAAGAGCAAAGATTCATGAAAATCTAGCATGAAACTTATTTATTTTATTATGTATTTTGTCGTTTTAAAGCTTTGGGCAAAGGAAAGCAGCCACAAAAAGCACGGTTACAATCAGGATCAGCCATCAACAGCTACATTTTTATGAAAATCGAGCAAAATACTTGCTAAAATCCACATACTCCGTGGCTCATAATAATGCGAAATAAAGAAGCATTCATAAATTATGGGTTGAATTTGAGTCCTTCATTTAGTCAGCCTTTACAAAATTTTCAACCCCAAATATTCACAATAAAAAAAAGTATTTTTTTACGGTGATGGTCCAAACCAGTTGGACCGGAAAACCTGTCTTGGAAAAAATTGCCGTGAGTTATGATATCCGATTTAGCCAACTTCACAAATTCATGATATTCTATTTCGCAACTAAGCATAAGAAAATATCTAATTATGCTTACGAGGTACATAAGGGTCTTTAGTTTCACAGATAGCATGTAAACGCATCAGCATTTAATTAGTATATATTCTCACAAGTCTGTTATAACCAACAGTTGTATCTTGAAGCTGAAATCCATATCAATCGAAATAAAAATTGTTTTAAAAAC